TGTCCTGACAGATTGTGCATTTAATTTGTTCTGCTGCAGGAACTTTTTTATTTTTATTATATTAAAATCATAACTTGGCAAAAGAACATTAAGACATGACCAATTTCTTCTTTTCTTAGTCTAGAAGGACCTTATATAAAATTTCTTTCAGTTGATTCTTATTTTTTAATACTCAGATACATCTGTATTATTTATTATGGTTTCTCATTGATGTTCTATTAAAAACAATTAAAATACTTTTTAGATTTAATATTTAGCTTATTTATTTAAAACTCATTTGATCAACTGTATAAATTAGAATCTGGAAGGTTTTTATTTTTAAAAATATTAAGTAAGTTTTCCACTATCACTTATTCTCTAAATCATTTGGTTTTGATTATCCTGTTATCATATATGAAACTGTTCTGAAATTTCAATTATATTTGAATTACCTTCCAATTTCCAAGTATAGTTGAATTCAAGAATAAGAAATCTATTCTACTAGCTATTCTGTTCATTTTTGGTTTGTTTTTCTATTGTTTTTATAAACTAAGGTATATAATATGATTTAATATTGTCAGGTTTGTTCCCCTGCATTATGCTTTATTTTCAAAATAATGTAGTTATATTATATTTTTATAATTATAGAAGAATTTTATATTTGCCTTGTCATGCCATCAATTAATTGTTATGGAGGGTTGTGCATTTAGCTATTGATTCACTTGAAGAGAAGGGGAAAAATGAGGTAAGTAGTTAGTGGAATTGATGGAATGAAATTAGAGCTCCTTTGTCTTTGTCACATTTCTGAAGTTTGCAGAAAGGAAATTAGCAGCAGTTAAGAAGAGGAACAAAGGTAAGATTTTGAGAATAGTTAGGAATTTTATATTAGTGGATGCACAAAATAGAAAATATGCCAAAATGAAAGAAAAAAAAAAAACCTATGCTGAATTTGAAAGTTGAGTTTGTAAAATCCTCTAGTTCATGTGATTTTCCAGCCACAGTTCACAGCTGTGCAGATAAATATGGAGAAGTTGGATAATATTTAGATTCATACAAGATAAAGGTCTGTCAGGTGGGTACAACCCATATACACGATAAGAAAACAAAAAACAAAAATAAATTAAAAAAAAAGAACTTTTACATGGTATTTTAGGGTACAGAAAATATTTTAAAACATAGAAAGACAGAAACTTTATATGATCAACCCTCAAATAAAATAAGAATTGATGAAAATTTTATTTGAAATTATTTATCAATTACAACTTCCAAATTTGTGAGATTCCTTCATAATTCAAATGTATCTTTTTTAATAAAAGTACTTTTTCTCACAGAGATATCATCATTTCTAAAGATATTTTCTTTACATATTTTTCCATGAATAAAAATATTGGATTATTTGAATTATTTTGTCATAGCACAATAATATGCTAAAGGATATAGACTATTCAAAACATATTTGATAGCTTGAAATGTGTCCCTGTTGTCAAAGGGATAATAAGAAAACATCCACACCAAAAAAGTAGAACACTTTCAACAAAATGTTGTTGTTTACTTATCTATATTTTCTTTTTAAAACATTTCTCCATATTCACTGCTCTTCCATTTTCTATAAGGAATATATTTTAAATTTATAACCATAAAAACATATGTATTTTCAAGTATGGCTGTAGTTTGTTTTATTGATGAATTTCACAGATACTCTTTTTTGAGTTTGTGCTAATTGACTTTCATATTGCTTTACTTTTTCATTATGACTCAACAGAAATGTGGACTCAACGGAAATGTGGAAAAGATTATCAAATAGTGATTGTTTGCCAATACTTTAAATCTTTAGTACAATAATATACTGTGTCACAAGTATCAAATGTCAAAAATCACAGTTTGTGCTTATACTCAATGTTTGTAGAGCCAATGTCTGGTTCTGTAAGTCATCATTTGACTATAGACTCAGTAGGTATAATTACAAGTTCATCAAGTAATCAGCATAAAGTAGAACAAATAGAGAAAAAAAGAGATAATGTTTTTGATGATGTTCATGATGATAATGAAGCAACTATTCTTTGTTGTTTGAAGGATGAAGATTTAGTATCTGAGCATATCAATTATGAGACTTTTCAACAGTAGTGACTTCCAAACTTTGTTGCTTTCTGGTTTCCCTGGCTTGGAGGTTTATCATCCTCAGATCTCCATCCTCTTCTCTGCCTTATACCTAATTGCCATTATAGGCAACAGCATCATACTGATAGTGATCTGGGTGGAACAATCACTGCACGAACCCATGTACATCTTTCTTTCCATGCTGGCCATCAGTGACTTGGGCCTCTGTGCCACCACCCTACCTACGATGGTAAAGATTTTCTGGTTCAATGATCGTGCAATACACTTTGATGCATGTCTTGTCCAGATGTACTTTATACACATTTTCTCCATGATGGAGTCCGGTATCCTACTCTCTATGGCTTTTGACCGCTATGTAGCCATTTCCAATCCTCTCAGATACAGTAGCATCCTGAACAATGCTAACATTGTGAAAATTTCTCTAGGGTTTGTGTTAAGGGCAGTCATTGTCCTCATCCCAGCCCCTGTCCTCATTAAGCAACTAAAATTTTGTGAGGCCAATGTGCTTTCCCATTCCTACTGTCTACACCCAGATATCATTAAACTCTCCTGCTCTGACCACCATATTAATAGCTTCTTAGGTCTTGTTGTCATTATCATTACATTTGGAGTTGACTCTGTGCTCATCCTGCTATCCTATATGAAAATTCTGACCACAGTGCTAGGTATTGCCTCCCAGAAGGAATGAGTAAAGGCCCTCAACACTTGTGTCTCACACATCTGTGCTGTGCTTCTGGTCTACATTCCTATGTTGGGTGTGTCCATTATTCACCGCTATGGGAAGTATGCTCCATCTACACTTCATGTCATCATGGGCTATGTCTATTTATTGGTGCCTCCTGTGCTCAATCCAGTTGTGTACTGCATCAAGACCAATGAGATACGCACCCGCATTCTGGGGATTTTCCAGAAAATATCCAACAGCAAACATAAATTAGGAGTTTGATTTTCCTATATTGATTTTGATATGTGCCTCTAATACCCATTATCTGTACTAAACAAATAACAAAGAAATATTTAGGCCAAAATAAATATATATTCATCTATTACTCTGCATACCTATGGTTAAAAAATTCCTGTAAAAGGTAGAAAAAAAAGTTATGGTAAAATAACTTTTAAAACTATATACTTTGTGCTATAAAATCAATATTTCAAAAAAACAATATTCCAACAAAACTTGCCTTGTGTTAACTGTTCAAATTATAAACAAAAATGAGATAACATAATGTTATGCTGATTCTCCATTCTAATGATTGTAACTATTTTCTTAATTTTATTGAGTTCATGCTTAGCTGTCATATGTCATTTATCAGATGGGAAATTTTCTTTCTGAATTTGACTATAAGATATCCAAAGGCAGGAGAAACTATGTCATTATATAGTACATTCTATGTTCTGTAAATTATTAGCATTCATTTGGCAAATATTTATTCAGCTCCTATTCTCTACCAGATGCCTTACACACCAGGATAAAAATGTATATGATTGCCTTGATTTATGGTGTATTAATTGTATTAGGAAAATACTTTAGAAATAAATGTTAATATCAAGGGCATCTTGCCCTTTTACCCTATCATCAACACACAGTTTTAATAATTCCAAACACCTGCTTAGAGTCATTGCCCAAGACGAACATGGTATTCAGGATCACTCTAGGAACAACAAGTGTGTATGGGTTGGTTTGTAGGCAAGGACAAACTGTGCATTGTTCCCAGATGTCTTTTATATCTGAGGTTCTTCCAGTCATTGTGGTGGGAATCAGGCATGTCAACTATCCAGACACTTCTCTTCCCATAATGGAACTATCATTTGCCCTTTTGCACAGTCTATTACTGTCCTTATGGATTAAAGCCCTATCTCACATTATGTTGTTGTTGTTAGTTGCTCTTGTGTCTAATCTAACTCATGGCAACCCCATATGAACAGAGTATAATTTCTACATAAGGGTTCAAGGCTGTGACCTTTCAGGAAAAGATTGTCGGGGTTTTCTTCTAAGGTGTCCCTGGGTGTATTTGAATCAATGAGCTTTTGTCTAGTAGTAAAATGCTTAACTGCCAGCTCCAATGGTTAATAAACCCATGACTAAGGAACATGGAAGCTATGATAGAAAGGAGAATAAGACAAATGAAACTACATTTTGTTAAATTCTTGCTATGCATCTACACATTTTGCTAAATGTTTCATTCATCATTTTCCTAATATATGGCCCCCAAGTGGGTCTGGTTTATTATACTCAATTTAGAAAAGAGGAAATTAAGTCTCAGAGGATGATCTATACTTAAGCATGTTGTTGTTGTTATGTGCCTTTGAGTTGGACCCGACTCATAGCGACCCCTCCTTGGGTTTCTGAGGAAGTA